GGGATTGAACTCAGGCCCTTGTGCTTGCCAGAGAAGCACTTATTCCACTGAGTCATCTCCCTGGAGAGGGCTTTCTTTTGCTCTCCCTCTGAGCAAAGGATTTTATCAGCACAGGAACTGAGGAATAAAATAATTGGGAAAATGGCCATCATGAAAGACGCTGATTTTTGTCCTACTTTAAAGCAACTTCAATGACCCAAGATTTGAAGATGAAGACACAATAAGACAACAGCAGCCAGTGATGGGAAACCGGAGGACTCACAGATGCAGGGAGTGATGGAGAACACCACAATGCCATCGGGCAATGCCATCGGGACACACAGGGATCGGGCATGGTGCCACATCAGGACAGTCGGAAGCAAGGGCAAGGAGGGGTGCTGAGGGGCACAGTCGGCTTCTCTTGCCATGCACCCCACGACACAAAGACTCTCGCTTGCTGCCACCCTGGCTTTCCCCGAGGGAGCCAAGGCAGGGAGCAACTGCTGCTGCTTCTTGGCCAAATCCATTGTGCTTCACTCTTGCCCCTTGGGAGGACTGCCAGGCTCCATCTCAAGACCTTGCGGGGTGTCCCTGCTGCGATGGCCAGTCCTGAGAGGCCCACACAGTTGGAGCCCTGGGCTCTAGGTTCCCTCTGTGTCATGGAAACAATCCTGCGCTCTCAGTTTTACCCAATTCCTCACCACCCCCAGCCTGCTCAAAGGCTGAAAGCCCCAGGGCCCACCACCCCCAGCCTGTTATTAATAACTTCTCCTGCCAGCTGCCTGCTGACCTCTCCCATTCCAGTGCCTGGGCTTCAAACTGCTCCTCCCAGAGACTCCCAGCCACCCCCGCATAGCCCACACCCTCCTGGTTCATTCCTGAGGCAGCTGGGCCAAAAGCTGGGAGGCCCAAGTGGCTGCTCAACCAGCCACTTCCTCAGAATGCCCTGTCTTCTCGAACCCTGGCTTCCTATAGGGCAGGTATTTTTCTTATTGTTTCCGAGATGCTTGGCACATAGTAGGCACTCAGAAAGTATCTGTTGAGTGAAAGAATAATTGTTGGATTCAGTGCAAGGGAATAAGGTGTGGCAGGGAGGTGATGCCCTGCAGGGCTGAGGAGCAGGCCCAGCTCCCCATCCCGGCTCGGGCCAGTCTGCTGCAGACCAGACAGACCAGGTGGAGGCCACAGAAGGAGGGGCCCACCCAGGTGGGGAAAGAGGCAGCAAGGGGCCCAGCTCCATTACCCTACGCACAGCCCCCTTCCCACCCCACACCCCAAAGCGTGTCTGTGGGTGCAGCCTTTCCCAGGTCGCGGTGCAGAGGGGCACCCCACCTGAGCCTGCTCACATTATCCATTCCAGGCTACACCAGCTGCCGTCACTTGAGGTCTGTTCTCCATGAAGATGGCATACCACCTGCTAGGAAAGGTCAGCCTCCTGCTCTTCCCGATGGCAGCCCCTGTATTCCCACCATACCAGACTCTGGGCAAAGCTGAGTTGGCTAAGTCGGGCCCCTTACACAGAAGAGGCCTATGACGCAAGAGGCATCACTTAGCCCAGTCCAGCACAAGTTCTGCTGGCCCATGGGCTGTGTCTTGGCGCTTGGACACTACAGGACTAGTGCTCAAAGTAGACCTCTAAGGTCTGGGGCAGGTAGGACCCTGAACGCCACCCCCACACTATCCTACTGGCTGAACCTCACTTACCTTTACACTCTTGGGGTCAAAGGCTGGTTCCTTGGAAGGTTCTGGAGCAGGAGCAGGGCCCGGGGCAGCAGTGGGGGCTGGCCTGGCCGTCTCCTTCTTAGGTTCGGGCTTCTTGGGAGGCATGCTGTCTCCTGGGCTCTTCAGAGAAGCGCAAGAAAGCTCCCAGAGGGTCAATGCAACCAGCTCTGAGATGAGACAGGGGCCTGGGCCTTGCTCTTTTATCCTGGGCAGGAGCCCCCGCAGAGGGGCTGGGGAGAGCACGGGCAGCTGCTGCTGACTATAAAAGGACAAAACACCAGCAGGGTCTAGCTGACAACTGTGTACTGTCACCAGGTTTGGGGCTACCAGCCCCTCCCACATGTGCCCCTCACTCCCCTGCCTCCACCTCTGGGGCTGGCTGCCAATTGGTGGAAACCCAGGAGGGCCGGGAAAACAACACCTTCCAAAAATGCCACAGCAGGCAGAGATGAGCTGCCTTGGGCAGCTGATAACCCTCGCACAAAGCCCAGGGGAAGCTGACGCTTTTTTTAGCCCCTCCTGGGCAGAAGCCGCCCACTGCGCATTCCTAAACCAAGATCCTTTAAACTGAGAGCCACTCGGGCCTTCGGCTGTGCCCTGAGGCTCAACTCTCCCAGCTCGGAGCCCAGCCAACAGCTGGTCCAGTCAGCCCTGCCATCCCATGTGGCACCTCCCGATGGGCAGGGTCAAATCCTCCATTCTGTGCAGTAGGCATCCCAGGAATGCCATAGAGTTCCCTACCACTCCCTACCTCAATCAACCGTTCAAGTTGATTAGAGTTGATAGAGAACTCAACACGTGTCCAAGGAGATCTGGGTGAGAAAACATGCTCAGAAAATCAGGAGACAGGACGGATTCTACAAGGTGGATACTATTATTATTCCCATCTTACACGTGAGAAAATTGAGTCTAGCCAGGGAGAGAGCTCAGTAGAATAAGTGTTTGCCTGGCAAGCTCAAGGTCCTGAGTTCAATCCCTGGTACTGAAAAAAAGAAAAAAAAAAGAAAATTGAGTCTAAAAATGGAAGAAGTTTGAGTTTAACACTAGCTGAATAACAAGGTCATTAAATAATCAGCTCTGAATCTGAATTAGAATCCAGGTGTGTTCGATTCTAAAGCGTGTACTTCAATAATTTATATCATAGTCCCATCTGTGGAGGGAGGAAAACAACGCATCTTGTGTGCTTGTCAGAAAGCCTGGGTGGGGCTGCAGAGCGGAGAGAGTGAGGAGGCTGTGGTGGGCCCCCCTCACAGCCTTTGCCACACACTGAGCTCCAAAGGGACTCTGCGCCTCACTGAAGAAAACTAGTGAACACGGGCAGAGGAGACCCCGAGCAGCCCAGAGGCTCAAAGTCGCGCACACGTGCTGAGAGGCCTTCTTGTTCTGTTCTGAGTTATCACCCAAAACTCAAAGGAGAACATCCTGGGCTCTCCATTGGTGATGTCGCCAAGAAACTGGGAGAAATGTGAATGTGGGATACTATTGCAGCAGGTGACAAGCAGCCAGAGAAGGCTGCCGAGCTGAAGGAAAAGCACGAGGCCATCGCTGCCTACCAGGCTGCAGGAACACCTGACGCAGCAGAAAAGGGAGTTACCAAGGCTGAAAAAAGCAAGAAAAAGAAG